GTTTATACATAATTAATATAAACTATATATTATATTGTAATAGTTACGTCCTTATGCAGTTTTTGGAGGAAGTTGAACTAAATATATAATGTAATAATCGTATAGTCTTATGAAATATTATATAGATGTACCTATATATTGTATTTAGCATTATATATTATAAAGTATTGTTATAAAATAAATTCCAGTTGTCTCGATTTTTTAGCCAACTCCTCTATCACTTCATCAACAGTAATTTCAACTTCCCTGTGAATGTTTAACATACCCAATTCTGCAAATATGTAAGAATTGTTGTTAATTTTTTATTTTTTGGAGAGGTTCTGGGGGGGTCCATTACCCCTGGACCCCCCTCCCGTAAATACGCCACTAATTTTAATATATTTGCCAAACATTTAAGGATACGATGAAATATTTTTTAACGAAATTATTTAAAATTAAATTACGTATAAAAATTGTAATTATTAAAAATATTATCAGATGCATTGATTATTTGTGAACAAAAATAATTTATTCTATGTTATCGAAATAGGCCTTATTTTATTAGGTATCGTTGTACATCAATATGAATAAGTATTGATATTGGTTTCCTGTGCAGCTTGCCACATGAATATCCATAAATGATAATATTACGAATATCCTCGCTACCCGTATGGTTCACTACAATGGGTAGAAATGACAATTACTACCGACTTAGTAGTACTGTGTAACTAATTTAGTTACTCTGCGTCAGTGGTCTCTAACACGCAGCTCGCGAACCCTTTCGATGTGGTCCGCATTGAATATTTATTTCTTCAAAGATTTTGATTTTAATTATTTTTTTTTTTGTTTTATAAAATATTTTATGTTTTCACAGTCTGGTACAAAATAAGAGATACCCAAGTATTAAGTGCAGCTCGAAAATAAAAATAAATTATTATTATTAAAAAAAAAAAATACACAGTAGTACAATGTCAATTTTTAAATAATCATATAAAATCAAATATAATCAATAAAAGAAATACATTTTGTCTTAATTTATTTTGTTCATTTTAGATTTAATATTAAAATGAGTAAAACAAAAGGTTTTTTGCCCGCGAACCTTTGACGTAAATATACATAACCCGTTGGTTTGAAACCTCTGCTCTACATGGTGTAATCAGTTAAAGACTAATATCTTATTCGAGTACCTAAGATTAACTCAAACTGATGAAAATGAAATTGAAACAATTGAATGACATGTTAAAAGAATTTAATCTTGAAGACTTAATTGACAGTTTTGCTACTACCAAATGTCGACGTAGACCGATAAAATAAATAATTATATAAAAGTTTGAAAATGTATTTTATTTTTTTTTCATGTTGTATTAATTATTTATACAACATTTTTAAATAATAAGAAATCACATTCTATTATTTCAATACAATTTGTTATTTAATTAATGTATACTTAATAGTAAATAAATGCTGACTTGGTCTAATATTTTAGTTATTAAGAGCATCTATTTTTCACAGGTC